GGGCCATCAGGGCATGGACCCCTGGGGGGATGCGCCTTGCGAACTCACATCGTCGGATGTCTGGTGCGGGAAGGCTTCATTAGGCCACGCTACGCCTCCACGGGCCCTAATCAGGCCCGGGGGCGGTCAAAAAGCTGCTCTGGAGACCGCCCCGAGTGTGGTCCGAGCAGATGGGGTCCGAGGATCGCGCCGCGTTGCCGACGCATCGGCGACGCATCGGCGACGTCGGAGCGGAGAGCATCGGGCTCCGCATCGAGCCCCCTCGCTGCTCCGCATCGAGCCCCCTCGCTGCTGCGTCAGCGATGCGGCGCGAGCCACCGACCCCCTCTGGCTCCGACCGCACCCGGGCGGCCCGGAGAGACCTCGAAGACGGAGAGCCTGCCCAGACCTCCGACGGGCCCGCTGCCGCTCCGTCCCTGCGTCTGCCCTCGACCTCTCGGCCTCTGCAGGCCCCGCCGAGTCGGCCCCCCCCGGGGGCCGTCGGCCACAGAGCCCGCCGCGGCGAGCCTGCCCTCCCCTTCGGGCAGCGGTCGGGGGGTCTCCGGCCGCGGATCGAGCGTCGCGCCGTGGGTCGGGCTGGTGGTCGGGGGGGGGGGCCGTGGCCACGGATCGGCAGGGTCCCGTCGTCGGAGGTCTGGGCTTCTCGGGCCGGGCGGAAGGGGAGGAGAGCCAAGGGGGGGGGGAGAAGCAGCGCACGCACCTGATTTTCCAGGCGCCTTCCGGCGCCGGCGGCGGCTATGTAGCAGGGAATGGGCCCCTCGGTGGGGCCGAAACCAGCTGCATGCAGCAGATTTCGTACCCCCCCCTTTCCCAATACCCCCCTTTCGTCTGGCCCGAGCTTCTGCACCTGCTCGAGCCTGCCCCGAGCCTGGCCGGGCCCATCCTGCGCCAAGGGAGCACTGCACGCGCCCTGGCGGCCGTGGCCAGGGCGCGCGCCGGCAGACGAGCGCAGACAGAAGGGGCTCTGGCCAGGGGCTCCGGCCAGGGGCCAGGGGCTAGAGGACGAACAACACCTACTGTTCGGCGGGCCGCGAGTCTGCAGATCTGCGGCTTGCGCTCGCGCGGCCCGATCCTCGGAGGGCGAGTTGAGACAACGGCAACTCAGAAGCAGTCCCCAGGCCCCTCCCGCGGTCTGGTGACTGACTGCGGGAGGCAGTGCTGATGCTCCCTGCGGGGGGCGATACCGTACCAGTACTCCCTGCGGAAGGCAATAGCGACCCAGCCCGGAGGGTTGCCCAAGACGGGCGCTGGCCAACCTTCCAGGCCCGGTGAGGCGTCGGGGCCTCAGGACGCCCGGCCCGGCTCGGCAAGGACTGTATTTTTCCGAGTGGCGTCAAAAGCCGTGGCAACGAGGGCACCCCCGAGGGCCAACTGCTTGCTGCTGCGGCCGCCTCCTGGCCGCAGCCTCCGCCCCCTCTGCGCCCTCGTCCTCCAACATAGCCTATCCTCCTCCTCCTCCTCCTCCTCCTCCTCCTCCTCCTCCTCCTCCTCCTCCTCCTCCTTGCTCCACCTGCTCCGCCTCCACGCCCTCCTCTCCCTCCCCCTCGTCTTCCCCCTCCTCGGACGCCTCTAGCAGCGGAGCGGCCTGCAGAGGCTCTCGAAAAAGCTCGGGCCTGGCCTGCCGTCGCCAGGCGCGAGGCGCCCTCACGACAGCGAGGGCGCCGAGGGGGCGGGCGGGGGGAGGGGAAGGAGCCAGCGTGGAGGAGGAGCCGGGGCCTCGAGGCACGGGGGTCCTTGCAGAGGCCGCAGGCCTCGGGAGTGAGGGCGCCGAGGGGGGGGGAAAGGGGGAAGGACCCAGCGCGGAGGGGAGGCCAGGGCCTCGAGGCACGGGGGTCCTTGCAGAGGCCTCGGCGGCGAGGACGCCACGCCGAGGGGGGGGGCGGTTGCAGCGAGAAGGAGGCGCCGGGGCCTCGACGGGGGTCCTGGAGGCCTTGCGCCGCTCGAAGGGGCCCCAAGTGGGGCCCGCCCTCCGTTCGGCGGCGAGCGAGGGGAGAAACGAGAAGGAGAAGGCCTCGTCAGAAGGCGGCGGGACTTTTGGACACGAACTATTGGGGGGCGCTAAATGGGGGGAGGGGAGAAAGGTGCCCTCTTCGGGCCCTGCAGGCCCCCATTCGGGGCCCCAAAGGGCTTCTTCATAGGAGCCCTGAAGGGCCCCTTTCTGCAGCCCTCTCTGCCCCCCCGCCGATCGCCTCCCATTCCGTAAGGCGGCGGGACTTCTCAGAAACCTGCGGGCCTCCTGGGAGAATTGTTCTGTGTCCCTTGTGTGGACGCCCGAAATTGGTACGGAAAAAATGGGTACAATGCCCAACAACAAATGTTTTTCCCAAACCAACAGCGGCCGCTGTTGGACAGGCGGCCTTCTGTCTCAAATGGACGCAGGCCGCGGCGGCACCGACAGCGAGTCCTGTTCAAAATGAGCAGGAACTGCTGTTGGGCATTGCACCCATTCTTTCCGTACCCATCTCGGGCGTGCAAACTTATCCTCCGGGGAGGGCTCACGGACAATCTTCTCAGAATGCCCGAGGACTGCCGAGCCTTCTGAGGAGGCCCGCCCCATCTCGCTTCCCCAGGCCTCGCCGCTGACCCACGGCGCTGGCCCCCCCCAAAAAACACAAAACCAAAACCCCGACATCTGGCACCTGCGCCTGCCGGGCAAGCGGCCCCAGAACACCACAGCAGCGGTCTGCAGAGTGGCGCTGGACTGGACGCGGTCGGCGGAAGAGGACACTGCGCGGCCGCAAACTTTCGGAGCTTCCCGCGCGACGGTCGCGCAGCGCCGCTGGACCGCCCTCCCTGGCGCGCGGAGCGCGCCAGGAGCTGCGCCAGAGGCGCCGCCCAACGGGCACAGCGCCGGCCCAAGGGATCCGTGCGGAGCTCTGCCCCGGCGCCGGTCCAAGAGATACGTGCGGAGCTCCGAGGGTCCACGCGTGCCGTGCGCTCGTGCTCGAGCTGTGGGCGGAGGAGCCGCTCGGCCCACGCTTCCTGAGGGCGAACCCCCTCCGAGTTGCAGAAGGGGGCCCTCGAAGCCGGCCCAGGATGAGGGGCTGGTCCTCGGGAGAGCCCGGGGTCTGCAGCAGACACATGCGACTGGACATCTGGCTGCAAGACGCGCAGACAAGTCGCAGAAGAAGGATGCGCGATGAGGAAGCGAGGGCCTTGCAGGACCATGTTGGCGTTTTCGAACGGGGGTGGCCAGCGAAAGTCGACAAGGATGGGCCGAAGGGGCAAGGATGCAAGGGTAGCCTTGGGAAGTTGCTCTTACTTGCTATGCGACTTGGCTGTGCTGGGGCATACTCGTCGCCGTTCCCGGAGGGTCATAAGGCCTTAGGTGCCCCAGGGCTTCTTTTCTTATGAAGGGAGCGGTCACCCAACAACCCGCTGCCCCTAACAGGGGCTACCACCCCACCCCCGCGCAACCGTAGCAATTTCAAGTGGCTGGCCGGGCAAACATCACCACAATCAGGTGGAGGAGGAGGAGGGGAAGGAGGAGAAAGAGGAGGAGGAGGAGGAGAGGAAGGAGGAGAGGAAGGAGGAGGAGGAGGAGGAGAAGGAGGAGGAGGAGGAGGAGGAGGAGGAGGAGGAGAAGGGCGAGGAGGGTGGGGAGAAAGCGCAAGCAGGGGGGAGAGGAGGAGAAGGAGGAGGAGGAGAAGGAGGAAAAGGAGGGCGGGGAGAAGGCGCAACGTTCCACTGCTGCATCGCGCGGCTGGCGGCAGCAGGGGGCGGACAGATCCTGCCCGCCCATGGTCGCGATCAAAAAGCAAACACAAAAAGGCGGCCCGTGACAATTTGTTGCCTGGGCTTCCGTGGGTCTCCTCCTCCGTCTCTTCCTCCTCCGTCTCCTCCGTCTCCTCCTCCTTCTCCTCCTCCTCCTCCTCCTCCTCCTCCTCCTCCTACTCCTCGTCCTCGTCGTCGTCCTCCTCGTCGTCCTCCTCCTCCTCCTCCTCCTCCTCCTCCTCCTCCTCCTTCTCCCCCCCTAAAGGCTTCTATGGGCCCCTGGGGCCATTGGGATGTAAGAACTGCAGGCGGGGGGGCTGTTGGCAGGCTGGCCTCCTCTGTGGTGGGCCTGGTGCAGGAGCCGCCTCCATCCTAGGCAACCCCGCCTCCATCACAGGGCATGGAGGGGGTGGGGGAGGGAGGGGAGGGCGGAGGGAAGAGGGGAGGAGGGACCATGATGACGCTCATGATGACGATCATGACGATCATGACGATGATGATGTTGTTGATGATGATGATGATGATGACGATGAGGAGGAGGAGGAAGAGGAGGAGGATGTGATGATGATGCTGCTGATGAGGACGAGGCGGAGGCAAAGAAGGTGGAGGAGCGAGAAGGATGGAGTATGGGGCTTACAGGAAGGGGGGGAGGAGGGAGACGGGAGGAGGAAGAGGATGGAGGAGGGAAAGGATAGAGGATCGATCATGGCCTGGAGATCGAGGATGAATGGTGATGAGAAAGCGAGGGGGCCATACACACATATATATATATATATGTATACATATATATATATAGATGCATGCCTATAGTTATATATATATACATTTATGTATGCATATATGTAGAGAGAGAGATTAAAAAAAGACAAACAAAACAGCAATATACAAAAAGGAACGCAACGTTGCCTACATATAAACGCATAGATATACAACGAGGGATCGAGAAGGAACATAAAGAGAGAGCGAGAGAGAGAACGAGACAGAAAGAGAGAGGTATCACGGAAGAGAGAGAGAAAGAGAGAGAGATAATCGGTTAACGCTATGTATATACATATGCGTGTATACCTATATATATATATGTGTGTGTATGACAGGAAAAGAGAGGCAACAAGTAGAGAAACAGCAACAACACAAACAACACATGATAAAGAGAAAAAGAAAACGTCCAGAAACAATGTCGGCTCCTTGCGGGCCCTCTCCAGAAACGCTCCACGAGGCAAACGGGCCCTCTGACCGAGGCTGCTCGGCCCTCCGGGCCGATCGGCCCCGGGGCCGATCGGCGCCGCTCAGGCGCCCCCGCGAGGGCACTCACGGGCGACGTCGCAGCCTCCGCCGGGCGACGGCACCACCTTCCGGGGCAGGACGGTCCGAAGGAAAGAGGCGATGATGCGACCAGCGGCTTCAGTGAGTACGTGCTCGGGTGAGAGAGGGGGGGAGGAGAGAGGAGGGAAGGGGGAGCATGGATGGATGATAGAGGATGGATTGACGGATGGAGGTGGGCGTCCGAGAACAGCCCAGCAACGTCGGCCAAGGGTCGCAACTTGGCTGAAGGGGGCACAGACGGCCATCCTTGGATAACAAATGCAGTTCGGGTTTGGTTTCGGGCGGAAGGCGAATTCCAAGTTCGAGAATAACCCAAACGAATCAAGAGTTTGTCAACAATTCAGAGGTACAGAAGTAATGCGCAACAGGAAAGTTTTCATGTTCTGACGTGCCTTTGGAAAGAAAGCGAACAGTTGGAACAACAAAATAATGGAACGACAGAAGGGACCTGGGAGTTCACACGCGCTCCAGATATTTTGACCTCCTTGCCGCCGAACTTTATCCACACTGCTTCCGGACATCAGATTTCCAGCACAGTTGGACTTGAGGCCTGGAACTGTTTGCGAACTTTGGTGAGTTTCGTAACCCACGGCAAAAATGACCTTTGGCGCGCGGCTTGCGGGGAGCCGCGGAAAGAGCCAAACCCACGCGCGCAAGACGCCGCCCTCGCATCGCGTTCGTCGACCGGGGGCACTCCGCTGGGCCCGCACCAAAGATCGTTCCGGCGAGGAGGTCTTGGTTGCGCGTGCCCGACGCGCGGCCTCGACCCTGCGGCCATCGGCCCAGGACGGCGAAAGACGCAGTGGGGAGGAGGACGCCGATGGGGGGAGGGGGGGAAGGACGGCGCGAGCAGGTCGAAGATCGGCGCGCGGCCGGATTCGGCAGGTCCCCCCCGTCTGACCCGCGGCTCGCCGGCGCTTGGGCGCAAAGGGGGTGCGCCTCCGCATCCGAGCCTCGTTGCAACCGACCGGGGCCAATCCCCGCCAACGGGTATGTTTTGGAGCACCTCGAGAAGACAAGCTGATACGAACTCCAACCGTCCAAGTGATCGCACTGTGTGGTTCGACTTGTGGGGCGACGTCAGTATATCCCCCAACCACATAACACGCGTACGCGTGCACAATATTCTAGGAGCTAGCATAATCGCCCGGACTGAGATTAGCACGGGGTCTGTCAGGGAATGTTACTGCATGGGCTTATGGGACCAGGGGGCCATGGGCATGCGCGCTCAAGCGTTCTGCAGGGCTGAAGCGTTCGAGCGTTAGGGGCTCAAGGGCTCGTGGGCTTGAGCGCTCGCAGGTTGAGGAGGCTGAGACTTAAAAAGGGCTCAAGGGTCTGAGGGTTCGTCTAAGCTTTTAACTGTCCAGGGGCTTAATAGCTACAGGGCGGAAAGGCTCGAGGGTTTAAGGGCTTGGGGATTTTATGGCCCACGGGCCTGAGGGAAAGAGATGGCGAGCGATGCGGGGTGGCGAGGAGGAGAAAGGGGGTGGAGGAGCGTTGTTTCCCCAACCGCGGGCGCACTCACCATGTCCACGTCGGGTCGAACCATGCGCGCGCAAGGGAGGAGAGAGGAGGAAACGCAACACAGAGAAGCAACAAAAACCAAGAGAAGCAGCGGCGGGCACTCTGCACGAAGAGTCCGTTGTTCCCGGGGGCGCGTGCCCCGTCAAAGTCGGACCATCGCGATCCGAGCGAATGGCCGCTCCTCCACGAATTCAAGCCACGACCACTCCCCGCCGAGAGACAGGCCCAACGCAACCACGGCAGCGGGGCAAAAGAACGGCAGCGGGGCACGCCCCAGAAAAAAAACGAGGTCACAACAACAAGAGAGAAAGAGAGAGAGAGAGAAAGAGAGAGCCGAACAATGCATCCAGATGCCTCGACACACGTCGGGAACCTGGCGCCAGGGGGCAGGGCGGGGGCAGGCGACCCAGGCAACGCTGAGGCACCGATCAGACCCCCCTGGGGCCTACTCTCTCTCTCTCTCTCTCGTTCTTTTTTTTTTTCTCTCTCTCTCTCTCTCTATCTCTCTTTCTCGTGTGTATATATACACATGTTTACGTGTGCCCGTATATGTTATTCTGCCTGTAACAGCAAGAATTGATCATACATGCATTTGACTATGAACTTGCACATCCGCACGTATACAGTTTTCTATGTATTGTCATTTCAATACATAAATATGTATATGTACACATGTGTGACTGCCCACACATGATTGTATCAACGTGAGACGATCGACCTACCTATACACGTGCACACCTGTTTATGACAATATGTACGTGTATGTATGCATTATGTATGTATGTATGTATGTATGTATATATATATATATATATGCAAACACTCGAACCCACCAAGGCCGGAAAACAGGGGCGCCACCTTCTGGCAGCAGAGGGGGCAGCGCTGGCGCTTGCCCCGCGAATGGCCGCCGGGCTGCGTCAGCCACCGCGCCGCGCAGAGGGCGTGGAATGCGTGCCTGAATCCTCCTCCCTCATCCCTCCTCCCCCTACACCCCTCCTCCTCCCTCCTCCCTCATTCTCCCTCCTCCTCCTCCTCCTCCTCCTCCTCCCTCATCCCTCCTCCTCCTACAGACCTCCTCCTCCCTCCTCCCTCATTCTCCCTCCTCCTCCCTCCTCCCTCCTCCCACCTCCCTCCTCCTCCTCCTCCTCCTCCTCCTCCTCCTCCTCCTCCTCCTCCTCCTGCATCCCCTCCTCCCCCTTCCTCCTCCTGCATCCCTTGCCGCAAGGCTGCCCCACCCGTCGAACTTCCAGACGTGTCCGTCATCGGGCCAGGCCGGGCGTGTCGCGCGGAGCGTCCTCGCAGGCTGCTGTCCTGGAGTTCGGGCAAACTGCCAGGGCTCCGCGGGCGGAGGGCTGGTGGTGTTCGGCATGCGGCTCCCTTGGTGGACGCCACGGCAGTGGACACCCTAACAGTCCGAGCATTGAATGTGAGATGCGCTTAACATGTAGGAACATGCTACAAGCCTGCTGTACACATGTCTTCACATGCTTCAAACATGTGTAATGCATGTTCTAGACATCTGGAATCTAGTTGGCAACATGCTTCCTCTCCATTGATCGTCCTCCACAAGGCTCTCTCTGAGCGCCTCGCACATACGTTTGGACGAAGGTACCCCGCAATGACAAGGGAGGAGGGCCAGTAGTTTACCACGAAGGAGTCTCAGTTGAACGTTGCACGCTACACGTTGTCGGGAACGGATGGGGGGTCAGTGGCCTTCGCCATGGCGCCGCGCGCATTTGTTAAACTACGCTCACCCAGCTACAAGGATGGAGGCCGGCACGCTTTCGAAATTATGCTGCGGCTTCGACCTTCCTCAGCATTTACATACCGAAGAACCAAAATGTTGCAGCAACTACACGGATGGACGGTGGCTCCATATCAACCTGGGGCTTGCGCTTAAGAC